AACTTCATTCTGCAGAAAAGTCTTGAAAAATTCACTCTTCTACTCTATCCACTTCAGAATAGTAACCTGGAAAGTACTGTGACTGTACATCCCAACTGTTTTCTATAATTTAAACTCTCATTTGCAAAAAAGAAAACCATTAATTTGTTACAGGCAAATGTTTTCAAAAACTGGAACTGTTTCTAACACCAGGTCATTCTTCATTAGCCTCATTACTCAACTCATTAAAAACTTAGAAACCCCCCCCCCCCTATTATGATGATCTTCCTTGATGGATCTGTATTACTAGTGCATGCAACTTTGAAGCTTCAACAACAGAACTATTGAACAGATCATCTGTTTGTTAAACTTCAACATTGGAAAAAAAATCCAGGACACTCAGGAGTTTGTTAACCATTCAATCCTTCCAAGATTGACAAGCTGCTATATCAAACAACCGCTCCTAAAGGAGCCAATATGCTGTTCACAACTCCCTGTTAATATACATGCACTTGTGTACATTTTACTGAACACTCCAAAATGGAGAGAAAATAGCTGCATTCAAATTTTTACAATTTGTAAACATTTTGTCTTAATTAATTCATATGTATTATTGTTTAGTAGTCCCTTTGAAAGCTTTATGTAATTTAGGTTTTAGGAGTGGAGAGTGACAAGAAATACAACTTGAATTTTCCTATTGACAAAGTGGCAAATTCAAAGTATTTCCTCATGAGGCTGCAGTCATTACTGTGTTAGTTTTAGAAGAGAAGGCCAAGCAAGGCTGATAGCATGCAGTATATTTATAAAAAGGCTAGGACTGGGAAGCAACCCACCAAAAATGGTGATGATACCGAGTACAAATACAGTTAAAAAAAAAAAAAAAAATCAAATGCTGTGCTCCTACAAAACCAAATCCACAAGCACTTTCTATTACAAAAAGGATAGTATCAGCAGTAGTGGCAAATTACTGCTCATTAAGAAAGCATACAAAGTGCCACAACTCTCACATGCCCTACTGTTTTTCCTCAAGCTTGCATGCTTCACAGAAACAAAAAAATAAAATCACTCTTTTTCCATCAACTCTGGGACATCTTAATGTTCTCTATGGCCATCCAAAAAGAAATCAATAGTGTTAGACAAATTGAGAAGGCGGCATGGGCAACTGGTGCCTCCCGAGTCTGGGGGGCACCAGATCGCCAAAGGAGGGGGGTCCCCCAGTAGCCAATTGCTGAGCCTGGGACCACCAGTGGCAAAATCAGAAACGCACATCCACCGGCACTTCTGGTTTCGCAGCTGGCGCTTCCAGGGGGTGTACGCCCAATCTCAGGGAGTACGCATGCACCCCCTATGCACCACCAAAGGAAGAAGGGACTGGATTTTAATTGCATTAGTGAGCAAGTCCCAATATTTAATGCTAATAAATTACTTAATAATAATGATGAAGAGAGTGAAATTATACTAAAAGTAGGTCTTTCAAAAAATTAAGTACCTATTCAAACACGTTAAAAACACTCATGTAGCCAAATACTTCAGAGCTGATGTGCTGGGGCAGAAGAGGGGCCGAGGCAAATCTCCTTGGAAATACTGGAATGGAGAGAAGTAATTTTCCAGTTGGAAGACTTGCTCTTTCCTATCATCCCCATATGTTTATTTGGGAGCTATTCTGATAGGAAGGGAAAACAAAATATTGCTAAACTTTCAGAGGAAATGTTTTTAAAATCCAGGAATAATTAAAAAAAATTCTGGGCAGCAACTAGGTGGAAAGAGGTAGGTAACACTTGGGGGAAAAAAAGGGTATAAACAGATGTCGTGTTTGGTGTGGGAGCAGCTGTGCCACAATATGTACCTTCATTGGCATCTCTTGGTGTTGTGGGGGCTGTCATCCCACAGGATTGGCCCTGGCTGCTCCCAAGGCTTAGGGACCTGACCCTGCAGGACAAAGGCCACAAGTGCAGCACCTCAACTCAGGGCACATGTCTGGAAGGAGAGGAACCCATCTGCAAACCTGCAACCTTTGGAGCACACATCTGCAATCCAGTTATCTGCAGGTGTGAAAGTGGGAATTCCCAGGGAAGGCATTTCCTGCTGCCCCATGTTAGGGCATAGTCTGAAATCACAGAGAGGGAACTATCATAAAGGATTCCCTACCTGTAAACATGCATGATAAGTAGAGGCATGGCAGGCTGATTTGGGCACCATGAGAATCCCCAGCACAGGGACTCCTGGGGCACATTCCCTCCCTTTCACATTTGTAGGCAATGCCCAACTGGGTCCTGTAGGAGGATTCTCAGGGCATGCGTTCCTTGCCACCTGGACCTACTGGGGATTCCCATGGTGCCCAAATCATCCTGCCATGCCTTTTGCATTCACAGATTTGGGCATTTGTGACACGATAAAGGACTAAAAAGTCTGTTCACTTAGATTTTATGCTGCCATAACAAAAATTATGGCAGCACAAAAGTGATGTCTGTTTGCAGCCAACCAAGAAAATGGGGATCCCTAGGGACATACCTTTACTGCAAAGTTAATTCTAGCTATTTATCTGCTCTCTCTGTGCACTCGAGAACTTTAAATGAAAGTCATAAAGGCTGGAAGGGATTTCAAGGGTGATCTGGTCCAACTCTCTGCAGGAATG